TGGGGCGCGGGGACGGGGGTGGCCGCGGCGTCACGGGCCGGGCCGTGCGCATCACGCCGCGGCCGAGGGACGCGAGCCGCGCGTTTCTGCGGGAGCTTTTCCCTCTCTCTTTTAATTCCCCGGGTGCCGCCGGAGCGCATGCGTCCCCGTGTCGCCCCGCTGCTGCCCTCTAAGGAGCGAGCACGCTCCAGGCTCAGCGCAGAACCCGGGCGGCGGGGGTGGGGTTAGGGGTGGAGGGGTGGCCGCTGAGCACCGCGAGGTCTGCAGCTCGAGGCAGAGCCCAACTGTCCTTTTAATTGACTTCTCTGCGGAAGAGGTTAAAGGTCTCCCACAATACAAGCTTTGAAAAAGTTTTTTTTTTCCAAACTTTCAGCCCTTAAACGGGATTTTAAAAAAAAGTTATCGCTTATGAGTTCTGGATTTGTTACGTGATATTTATAATAGAGATGTGGTTTTGTGAGCTACCAAAGTAGGTGCTAGGAGCTAGGAACAGAATCCGGGTCGTCTACAATAGCAGCAAGTGCTCTTAACCACTAAGCCATCTCTCTAGGCCCCCAAAACCCTCCTCTCTTTCTTTTGTTAATTGAGTTTTGGTGTTTTGAGACATAGTTTGTCTGTGTAGTCCTGGCTGTCCTGGAGCTTTGTTAGCCAGGCTGGACTTGAACTCACAGAGATCCGCCGCCCCTCGGCCCCCCCCCCCCCAGTGCTGTGATTAAATACGTATGCTACCACGCCTGGCCAACTCTTCTTTTTTTTAAAGTCCAAACAGAAACTTACCATATCCAATTTTATATATATATATATGTGTGTGTGTGTGTGTGTGTGTGTGTGTGTGTGAAATAGAACCACGATTACCACCTTCTTCCTTTTCCTCCCTCAATCTTTCTTCTGCACACATTTTTTGTGCCTGGCTTGTTTCACTCGGTATCATGTAGACTGTACCACATGAGTGTGTGTACCTTTTGAGTGCCAGTGTATTATTTAACCAGATTCCTGATGGTGCATATGTAGCCCAATCCCAGTATCTTGTACTAAAATGTCGGGCCACAGTGCACAGCCCTGAACATGTACTTGGGTGCAGCCCTGAACATGTACTTGGGTGCATCTACATCAACTGAATAACCATTTGGTGATTGAATTGCTATGTCATAAGACAGATGCCCCTTTGATTTTGATGAATCTTGACAAATTGCTCTCCAGTGAACAATTCCAGTTTAGATTCTGGTATATGAATGTCCATTCTCACCAATACAAGATACAAGTTTTGTTTTGTTTTGTTTTTTTCCAATCTTACTTATCTGAAAAATGTTTATTACCAGCTATGTGCTAGGCATGTTTTAGGACATGTGAATGAATACAGTAGTGAATAAAACCAACAAAAAGTCTATACTCTTTTGAGTATTTTAGTTTGTGAGCACACTTGCCTAAGGGTCATGCCAGACTCTACCCCTGAGCTGCAACCCCAGGCCTCTGGTGTTTTGTTTTGAAGTTTTCATGTAGCCTAGGGTGACTTCAAACTTCCTGTATAGCTGAAGATGACCTTGATTGAACTCCTGATCCTCCTGCCTCAACCTCCCTAGTGCTGAGATTACATGTGTGTGCTGTCACACCATTTTATGCAGGGCTAGGGATCAAACTCAGGCCTTTGCTCATGTTAGGCCAGCGCCATCCCTGTCCACGGACTACATCTCTTTAATGACTTGGATCAAGAGGTTAATGTTCAGCCCTAACAAGGATCATGTTCAGTTTATGCTACTTTTAAATTACAAATATTTTTCTCTTTAATTTGAATTTTAAGACAGTTGAAGTTCCCTTTTTATTTATTTTTATTTATTATCATTTTCGAGACAGGGTTTCTCTATACCTTTGGAGCCTGTCCTGGAACTAGCTCTTGTAGAGCAGGCTGGCCTCGAACTCACAGAGATCACCTGCCTCTGCCTCCAGAGTGCTGGGATTAAAGGCGTGTGCCACCACCGCCAGCTAAAATTCCCTTTTTAAAGTTCACTTACTGCATCTATTTATAGGAGTGCCCTGACATACGGGGTTCTGAGAACAACCTGCAGGAACTGGTTCTCTCCTTCCAACATGTGGGTTCCAGGGATCCAGCTGAGACTGTGGGGCTTGGCTTTCCCCTCACAGAGCCATAGAGTCTGCCCTGTTTATTGGCTCTTTAATCACCTCAGTCTTCGGCAAAGGTCTTCCCGGGAGCTGACTCCCTTCGTGCTCCTCCCATTTTCATGAGCTACAGGAGACACGACACTCCTCCACCACCTTCAGCTTCACGCCTGAGCACGTCCGACAGCCCATTTCCCCTTTCTGACATCTTTCACGGGGCAGCGGGAGATTCCCTTTTCAGAGAGGAGCTACTCCACTGCCTGCGATGACGCCAGCACCGCCAACCACACACAGGAGCATCTTGACATTTACCCGGAGCCCCTGGGCACCTGACGTCGGGGGAGTTGGCAGTCCCCTGGAGCAACTGGTGAGTCACAGAGCCGTCAGCTGCTTGTTTTCCAAGCAGAGCTAGGACAGAAGCCAGCCTCTATTTTCAGATTTCTTTATGGCAAGGAAAACTCAGAGTGTGTTTTGAAAACAATTAGTATAGTTTGGAATCTTCCCTCACAACGCCCCCCCCCCCAGTCTTTAGAAATTCACTAACAATTACCGAGGAGTTGGGGAGGGGGTGCATGCAGGAGGAAAAATAAGAAAATCCAAATATTTAAATGCCAATGCTCTATCATCAGTGTATTGCACCGAATAGCTTTAGTGTTTGCATGGAAAGCTCTCTTTAATTTTGATGGCTGGACTTAGGAATTGTACCCCTCTGGGAGAGAGATGCCAAGGAGGACCAACATGGTTCGGAGAAATCATACCAAGAAGTCCCATGAGGGCCAACGAGATGGCTCAGCAAGTAAAGGTGCTTGCTGCCAAACTTGTCGACCTGAGTTTGATCTCCAGGACGCTCATGGTAGAAGTGAAATGACTCCCAAATGTTGTCCTCAGACCTCCACTTGCACATCATAGCATAGCGTGAGTGTGCACACACGCGCGCGCGCACACACACACACACACACACACACACACTACAAAATAGAAAAACATTTTAAAGGCCCAGGCCTAGAAAGATGGCTCAGCAATTAGGAGTATATACTGGCTTTGCAAATGATGTGTGTTCAGTTCCCAAGTATACATATTAGACCACTTACAACTACCTCTCCTTCTCAATCCAGGGGAATCCGATACCACTGGTTTCTATGTGTAAATGCACTCACGTATGTAGGGGAATGTGTTACAGTTGTAGTGTTGCAGAGATATCCTGACTTATCTGGAAGCCGGGTTATACTTAGAGCCGCAATAGGACGACAACTCAGCCCTGGAGGATAGACCTGCAATAGGACAGCTCTGGAGGGGTAGAGCCACAACAGGACAGCTCAGCCCTGGAGGACAGGTGTCCTTGACTATGGGGAAGCCAGGCTACCTGAAGCTGGGGTGTGGTGGGGGATGGTCTCCTCACAGGATATAGTGATCCTGCACTTCTCCTGGAGAGCCTCTACAGCTCAGTTCTGCTCTGTTCCCTTAAGGGAAAGTCCTGATAGAGCTATCTGCTTCTCCTCTGGCTGACACGCTGCTAAAGGGGAAGCCCCTACAGAAATGTAGCAATCTCATCTGACTCAGGGAAAGTTACTCTTTTCTGGCCCCGCCTTGCTCAACGCCCTTAAAGAGCGTCCTAGCAAGGTTCTTCTGTTCTGCTCTGCCTTGCTGAGGCCCCCTAGGGAGCGTCTCAGCAAGGTTTTTCAGCTCAGTTCCCTAAGGGATGTCTCAGCCAGATTCTTGAATCTGCGCTGGCAAATGAAGGTTGTCACCCAAGACTCTCCTAAGGAGATTTTATTTGGGAAGTAGTAGTCCAGAAGAGTGGCAGCCTCTGCCAGGGAGGGATTAACAGCAGCCTTTTAATTTTAATATTAACAGGGGGCAGAAAGGCTTATTATATAGGCTTTCTTAGGGGCGGAGTTTTCCCAGGGAGAAGTGGGATTGGTCAGTTTAGCTGGTGGGGGGGGGGGGCAGAGATGGCTTTGACTTCATGGCCAAACTGTTTTTTCGCTAGTCCTTTTTAGCTTTTTGACTCTAATCTTAGGACCAGGGCATATTTCTTTCACTGGCTCTGATTCTAAGGACAAAGTGTGTTTTTTGACACTAGTTTCAGAGCCAGGGCACATGTCTTTAGTCCTGGGTTCAGTGGTAATGATGTTTCTTTCGTTGGCCCAGGTCTTAAATACAGGGCGTGTTTCTTTCATTGACTCAGGGTTCAGAGTCAGGATGCGCAGTGATTGGTTGGTTTCCTGTTCCAGTTGTCCCTTTCACCCTACAATGTGTGCATTACCCACACTCAGATATGCATACATATATACATAATTAAATATTTTTCAAAACAGAATGGTAGTACGTGCCTTTTTGGGTTTTGTTGTTGTTGTTTTTTGAGACAGGGTTTCTCTGTGTAGCCCTAGCTTACCTGGAATTCACTCTGTGGACCAGGCTGGCTTCAAACTCAGAGATTCACCTGCCTCTGCCTCCTAACTTGGTGGTGTGTACCTTTAATCCCAGCACTCTAAAGACAGAGGTAAGCAGATTTCTGTGAGTTTGGGGCCAGTCTTGTCTATATAGAGAGTTCTAGGCCACCAAGAGCTACCTGTCTCAATAACAAAAATAATAATAATAATGAATAGAGACTGGAGAGATGACTCAGCAGTCAAGAGAACTTGCTCCTCTTGTAGAGGACCTGTATTTAGATCCCAGCACCCACACGGTAGCTCAGAACTAACTATAACTCTTAACTCCAGGGGATCCAAGTCCTCTTTCTGGTGCCCATAGGTGATGGGGGAAGCATTGTTAACCAATCATCTTTAAGAGGTGGAACCTAGATAAGGCGTAGCTTCCTGGAGCCCGGGAGAAAAACTGGGAAGAACCAGGTGCTCGCTCTCTCTGGGCGATTCCCGCGGGACACAGCGGAACTTGGGCTCTCCATTCCTGTGGCGTGAGTTTCCCCTTAGCTAGACTGTTATTTCCCGAATCGAGCTCACTCCTACAGTATCTGGCGGCTCTGGCCAGCCGCGGAGCCGCGTTCATTTGGGCATAGAATTCCCGCACAGCGTCCCTGATTAACCGCTACCGGTTGACTTCTGGGTCCAGTTTTTCTGAGCTCGTGGAAGCTCAGGCAGTGCTGGGACGCGGGAGGCCGAAGCGGAAAAGGCTGAGGAGCTCGCGCCGGGCGCAGCCATCACCACCAGGGGCAACGGCCGAGGGGCTCACACTTAGCCCAGCGCAGCCACCGCCGCCGGGGGCAACGCGCCCTCTGTCCTGAGCAGGAGGCGCCCGCCTCCCTCTGCCGACTGTCTCGGGTAGCTGTTGAACAGCCAGGGACCTTCACGAAGCACACAGTCTGCGGTTTATACTAAATAACTTTTTAATCTAAGCATATCTTTTCAGCCTTTAACTCTACAATCAGATTTAAACCAAGCACGTGGCTCCAAGGGCGCCGCGACACCTACTGACAGGTGATGGTTACTGCACCTACTCCAGCTCAAACTCAACCACAGGTAAGATTTATAATTTGAAATATAAATTTATAATTTAAAAGGGAAAAATGACAGACTATTTAAAACTCCAGGAACTCACTAGCTTTTTTATTTATACTATGCATGATGTCATGCAAAGTTTATATGATTTCCCCCCTAAACCTCTCTATTTGATTCTGGGGATCAGCTTTGTCCTACATATTTTTTTCTTAAAAACATGGTTTGATAATAGAGCCAAGAATGAGGTACTTTTAGAAATAATACAGTCTTTACAGACTGTTAATGATCTTCTGAAAGGAAAACTCAAAACGCTGGAGAAGGATGTGAACAATTTCGCTGACAAAACTCAGTCAAGTGAGACACTTTTAGAAATGATACAGTCTTTACAGACTGATAACGATCTTCTGAAAGGAAAACTCAAAACTCTGGAGAAGGATGCAAACAATTCAGCTGGCAAAACTCAGTCAAATGAAGCACTTTTAGAAATGATACAGTCTTTACAGACTGATAATGACCAATTAAAAGGAAAATTCAGCATTCTGGAGAAGAATACAGCCAATTTAACAAACAAAACCCAGGCAATGACAAAGGGTGCTGAGACATTGTCTGGGAGAATGCGTACTGTTGAATGTATTAGTGAGGCTCTGGCGAAGGATTATGATAGATTGGCTGATAGATTGTCTCTCCAGGAAGGGAATATGTATGCTATAAAAATTAGGTCCAAGGATGAGACGTTATCTCTACTGGACAGACTTTGTACCTTGGAATCCTCAATGAGGGCATTAGAACAGAACACCAGACAGGAGATCCAGACTCTACAAAAGGCAATGGTAAAAAGATTTGAAAAGATTGAGGAATTTATAGAATTTGATGACCAGGGACAAAAGGTACAAAGTCAGAGGTACAACTGGAGGGAAGAGGCTAAAATTTTAGAGCAACAGGGAAAAGCAAAAGAATTTAAGATTTCCCAAGATCAAATTCTGGGCAAGGGACTTTACTCTGATCCTCAGGATCAGGCTCTTTACGATGAACACACCTTGTCCCTATGTAGCACAGCAGCTTTAAATGCTTGGGGCGGGACTCGGGAACTAGGAGAGAGAACTGAATCATATCCTAGGATTAAGCAGGGTTCCAGAGAACCTTTTAGTGACTTTTTAGAAAGATTAACTAAAGCTGTACAAATAGGGGTGACTGACCCAAAAGCTAGAAGTATACTGATTGAAGCTTTGGCTTATGAGAATGCCAACTTAGAATGCAAAAAGATCCTTTGGCCTTTAAAGATCAGATCAGCACCCATGGATGAATGGGTCTTGCATACAAAAAATGTTGAGACATTTGACTATGATATTGATGATTGGGTAAGAGATGCAATTTCCAAAGGTATGAGGAGATATCAAAATACCAAATGTTTTAATTGTGGTAGAGTGGGACATCTGAGAAGGGACTGTAGACAAGGAATTCCTAGGAATAATGTCTCCTCTGGAGGACAATGGAATAAGTGGAGGATGAGTCAAAAACTTCAGTAGGACAGAGGAAACGTGTACTCTGGCAGACTTCTATAAATGATCAAAGAGTGTGTATAAATGGCATTGTTATTGAAGGCTTACTAGGCACAAGTGTAGATGTAGTATCATTACTCCAGAATCTTGGCGTCCAAATTGGCCTCTTCAAGAGGTAGATGTTCAGTTCCTAGGAATTGGAGCCCTATGTTTCTGGGGAAAATATTGGAAGATATTATAGACAAAGGTCACCAGTCATTCAGGCTGTACGAGAACACAAAGCAGTTGATAAATCTTCAGAGTTGCTAATGGCCCTGCCTTTAAAATAGTTAACTGAGAAACCAATATGGGTTAAACAGTGGCCTCTAACTAAAGAAAAGCTGTGTGCTTTAGAACAGCTGGTACAAGAGCAACTAGATGCTCGCCATATTGAAGACTCTACCAGCCCTTGGAATTCTCCTGTATTTATTAAAAAGAAATATGGAGAATGGTGAAAGATCTTAGAACTATCAACAAGGTTTTTCAACCTATGGGCCCTCTACAGTCTGGAATTCCTCTGCCTCTTTGTTACTAAAGGGATGGCCTCTCATAGTTATTAATTTAAAGGATTGTTTCTTCGCTATACCTTTACAAGAAAAAGGATAGAGAAAAGTTTGTCTGTCCAGAACTCAGAATTATATGTTATTCTTATGGTATTAAGGGATTTTAAAGAACTTCTCAATATAGTTACTGATTCACAATATGCAGAGTTGTCTTGCATATTGAAACCACTGAATTTGTACCAGATTATACAGAATTGACTTCATTATTCATTCAGGTATAAGACATAATCAGGAATAGATAGGCTTTGTCCCATATACATAACACACATCTGATCCCATACGGTTCTGCCAGGTCCTTTCGTACAAGGTAATGCAGGAATTGATCAATTATTGTTTGGAAGTGTGTTGCAGGCCTCAGAATTTCATAAAAAACATCACATCAATAGCAAAGGTTTAAAGAGTTTCCTATTACATGGCAACAAGCTAAGGAGATTATGAAGAGATGTCCTACTTGCTCTTTCTATAACCAAACACTGTTGCCTACAGGGAGTAACCCAAAGGGTACTCAAAGGAATGAGATCTGGCAGATGGATGTGTTCCACTTTACGGAATTTGGTAAATTAAAATATATGCACCACACCATAGACACGTATTAAGATTTTCAATGGGCAATTCCCTTGAGCTCAGAAAAGTCTGACTCAGTAATCACTCATTCATAGAAGTTATGGCCATCCCTGTACAAATACACAATGGTCCAGCAAATGTATCTAAGAAAATTAAACTTTTTTGCTTATTATAATATAAAGCATATTACAGGTATACCAAATATACCTGTTATAGAAAGGTCAAATCGAACTATAAAGGATATGCTAAACAAACAAAAAGGGATGGAAAATAACCCCAGAAATAGATTGCATAATGCTTTATTAGCCTTGAATTTTATTAAACACTAATGAGAAAGGAACAACAGCAGCAAAGAGACATTGGATAATGGAAAAAACTTGTGAGTTGAATCAACCAGTGTATTTCAAGGATGTGTTGATCTCACAGTGGAAACCAGGAGGTGGGGAAGGGGTTTTGCTCTGTTTCCACAGGAGAAGAAAAACTATGGATACTATCAAAGTTAAAGATTTGCTTTGAAAAGGAGAGACTTCTTGAAAAAAAGAAATGACAGCTCATCCATAACGGTGACAACCATACAGGTGCTAAGGAAACTATATAGGGTTGGGGCAGGGATATCTGCTCTTATCTTTACAGGAAAATAAACATCTTCAAAAAATTCAAGAGATCCTGGATGTTTGGATGATAACAGAAGGAAAAATAGCTACCCAATAAGGATCATCGAGAAAAAGGAATATGATTTATGAGGTCAGGTGATTAATACATATACATTTAAGTATTTATGAATATATAGAGCTGGTTTTGGAGTTGGACAATGGCTCTGTACTTCTCTAAATCCAAGCGTATTGTTAAAAGGAACATTCAGAGTTTCTGTCTCATACCGGGAGCCATCTGGTATGGGACAGATGAAAAAAAGTAGAAAAAATTTTACTTTCTCCATGTTTATTTATCTATACCGCATTCTTTATTGAATGTATGTCTCTATGAATAATGTTTAAGCTTTTCACAATGAACAATAGACTTTCCTACAGATCTTTTTCCTGCAGTAATCTTTGAAGTTTCCAGGAAGAAGATGGGGCCCCACCGCAACAACTCACCTGGCTGAGATGACATGATGCTGATTGCGCTGCGCTAAGACCCATTTTTGGGTACCAGCTGCTGACATGGTACACCTTCTCATGACATTCTAGCCAGAACTCCAGATGACAACTTTGAGAAAAATCCTATCAACTGCTCAGAAATCCTTTGCAACTATGCTAGACAGTAATCTTGAAACTCAGCCATCACTTTACTTCTGCAGGGTCCCATAAAAAGAACCGTCGCCCCCATGTCAGCAGGAAGTAATTCTAGAGGACGACGCCCCCCCTCCCAAAAAAGTTTGTTCTCGGGGTTGGGAACACCATTTAGGGTTGTTGATTATTGCCTGTATCAGGTAGAGGGGTGGGGTGGAAACTCTTTGTTCCAAAAAGGGGGGAGGTATTAATAGTGGGTAATAGAGTGAATACTTGTGAGCTATTATTTATGAATCATTTACATTGGTATAGTTTTTTTGTATATTGATACAAGTTCAAATTGCATTTATTTCTGTTTACAATATTTGTACACCTATGCAGTTATTCTGTTAGATTGTGTGCATATTTCTACCTCTGTTTAGGACATTTTGTATATTGATACAACTTTTAGGATATATTTTCATATTGCGTTATATATTATTACCTCTGATCAAGATACTTATGCATTTTGAGGTCATTGTCCTCATTTGCTGCACATTTGTTTACAGATTATTTAATATTCTGACATGAAGTCTTAGTCTTTAAGTTATACAGGTGTTAAATATTATAGGTCAATAGTTCATGTTATACATGGTCAGATTAATTAGGTTCTTTAGATATATAGAGGTTATATTCTGCCTAGATAGGTAATCTTCAACCACTTCAAGGATCTGTAGAATATGGCATTTAAATAACTTAGGGTCTGTTGACATGAGACATGATTGCTCCTGACAGCACCAATCTAATCCCGAAAGAATGTTGAGCACCAAGGACACTCCACTTGGAGAGTGGAGTGGCAAAACTGGCCTTTGGGCAAGGAACTGCCCATACGTCAACCACTGACAAAGTACATGGTATCTGGAATGGATAAGCAGGACACAAGAAAAAAGACTGTCAAATCTTGCCAAGACAGGGTAGGACAGTTTTAAAATTTTCCTGCCCCTGCTAATGGTCTGTTGGTTACATTAGGCCTTACCCAAAGTTGGTTGCTTCAACGTTGCAGATGAGAATTTGGGTGATTGCTCAGGTAGCTAATTGTCTCCGTCATGTATTGCTCGCTTTGGAAGCTGCTTGATTGCACTTCTTGCCTGCTCAAGTAATATTATTTCCCTTCTCAGGCCTTCGATGGGGTTGAAGATTAGATAGTCGTAGTTACCTTCCTCATGATTTAGCCAGACTTATTTCTGATGTAAGATTTAGACTCCTTCAAATAGAATGTTTATTAAAACATTTGTCATGTGTTCCTTGCTTAATATTGCTTATGTTGTTATTTTATACTTGGTATCTGTTCCTGTTGTATATAGTTGTATTGGATTTTTGGATTGATCTTGTTTAGACAAAAGTGGGGGGTGATGGGGGAAGCTTTGTTAACCAGTCATCTTTAAGAGGTGGAACCTAGATAAGGCGTGGCTTCCTGGAGCCCAGAAGAAAAACTGGGATGGACCAGGTGCTCGCTCTCTCTGGACTTCCCATTCCTGTGGTGTGAGTTTTCCCTTATAATAAGTAAAAATATAATTGTTTATCTTTAAGCTAGCCTGGTTATTTACTGAGTCAAGCTAACTTCTACACACGGGCACCTGCACAGATATGGTGAGCTTACACACATGCAGAAAAAACACTCATACACAAAAATATATGCATCTTTGGCTGTTCTGGAATTCATTATGTAGAACAGGTTGGCCTCAAACTCACAGAGATCCCCTTGCCTCTGCCTTCTGAGTACTCTGGAGGCAAAGGCAGGCAGATCTCTGAGTTCCAGGACAGCCAGAGCTACACAGACAAACCCTGTCTTGAAAAACAAAAACAAAACCGTGGCAGCACTATGCCCAGCTGAGTTGCTTCTGCATCTATAATCTCCCCCACCTCTCCTTTGTCTTCCTTTGGAACATCCTAATTCCATGGGCTGCACATGACTCAAGGTATGTCCTTGCTTCCTCACCTCTACAAGGTACCTGCTAGGACCAAAGTAGGCCAAGCCAATATACCTTCCACAGTTCACATCTGAAACACCAGGACCCAGTGATGGAGATTGCTTGAGGTTAAGATATAAATTATTTTAGGGATTTTTTTCTCTCCTTTTTTAAAGATTTATTTACATATTATGTATACAATATTCTTTCCATGTGTGCCGCCTGCAGGCCAGAAGAGGGCACCAGATCTCATAGATGGTTGTGAGCCACCATGTGGTTGCTGGGATTAAAGATGTGCCCCACCACTGCCTGGCAGGGAGTTTTCTTGAGACTAAAGGCCATTGCTCCTCAGGTGCCCGGAGCATCCCTACTGAATTTTTCTGAGTTATTCAGTGTTTTTGCTTACCAGGGACAGCTTCTGTTGCATTCAAATGTAACTCTTGACAGTCCCATCAAGGGACAGGAAAAGGATCATTGTGGCAGGGAGAGCACTTTAGGCATCGTCTAAAGCACAAAGTCATAGTCAAAATTTGTACTGCTTCTCAGCCTGGCTTCTCCATCCTTCAGTCCCATTACGCTATGTCTTGCACTGTAAACCCTCAGAAGAAAGAGAAACGAGTGAGGGCCAGGACATGTGGCTCAGTGGTAGAGCGGGTACCCACCATTGAGAAGGTCCTGGGTTTGGTCTCCAACACTGGGGGGCGGGGGTATGAGAAAACATGCAAACAGTGCCAAGAGAGTCATATTCGGGTTTTCTCTGTATCCCTCGCTGTGACTTGCTCTGTAGAGCAGGCTGCCTTGAACTCAGAGTTCCGCCTGCCTCTGCCTTCTGAGTGCTGGGACTAAAGACATGTGCCACCACTGCCTGGAGAAACTTGATTCCTACAGATCTACCATGAAAGTAAATGAACCTTGTGTGTCCACCCAAAGCCCTGTCTAAACTTGAGTGACCATCATGAGTCGAGGCCAGCTGCTAATTACCAGTGGCACCAACACTCAGACTGGTACAAGTGCAAAAGGCAATGCAGTCCCTTAAGGAACCCATTAGGTCAGAAGTAATTCTGTCTATAGATCTCACAACTGGACCCAGGCCCTAGCAGGAAAAAGGTTGGTCTGTTTTTCTCCTGGGCTGAATTGGTACCATTCTCATGCCTCCAGTAGCCCTGGGTTGCATATGTTTCCTGTTAACTCAGCACACGGAACAAGTTCCCCACCCCTCAACCAACAGGCCTAGGCCTGACCCCTGATGGGCTGTGCAGGTGGAGGGA